ATGTTTATTAATTTAATTCGTATCGTTTTCTTTTGTATTTTCTTCTTTCTCAACATTTTCTGCCATGCTTTCTTTCTTTCTTTCTTTCTTTCTTTCTTTCTTTCTTTCTTTCTTTCTTTCTTTCAAGTGCCTCTCTTTCCCTTGTTTTTCCTGCACCATATGCTTTCTTCTCCCTTTCTTTTGCCAGTCCCATTCTTTCTTTCTTTCTTTCTTTCTTTCTTTCTTTCTTTCTTTCACAAGTGCCTCTCTTTCCCTTGTTTTTCCTGCACCATATGCTTTCTTCTCCTTTTCTTTTGCCAGTCCCATTCTTTCTTTCTTTCTTTCTTTCTTTCTTTCTTTCTTTCTTTCTTTCTTTCTTTCTACTTAATCTCTCCTCCTTTGTACTGCATCTTAACATCTTTTCTAATTTCCTTCATTTCGTTTTTTTTCCTTTCCTCTTTTATCCTTTCTCTATGTCCATCGCCTTTCTTTCTTTCTTTTTTTCTTTCTTTCTTTCTTTCTTTCTTTTTTCTTTCTTTCTTTCTTTCTTTCTTTATTTGTCACCCTTTTCAACTTGCCTCCATTTATTCATTCCTTAACGTCTTTTCTTTTCTCATCTGTCCCTTTCTCTACTCCGCTATGGACTCACCCCCCACCCACATCTTCTAAAGCTGCATATCAGCCGATACACTGAAACTCTTTCTTGTTTGCATGGCCTGTCTCAGTGCATAAAGACAACAAGCGGCTGTAATCATGCTTTTCTTCTTCCATCTTCCTTTATAGCTGGCCAGGATTCATCTGAGAACATCGGAAAAATTGATTTAATACCGATGGATGCATATTGGTGAAAGAGCTTCTTACAATGTCCTTTCCTTGGCCGTCTATGTCTTTCAATGTACATTGCATTATTTTCCGAGCTCGGAGTAGTTCTAAGATCGCCAGGCTGAATGACCCCGGAAAGACTAATAGATTTGACATTGAGTAAACCTTGTTGCTTAAGCCTTCTGGCACTATTATATTCTATAACCTTTAATAATTCTAATAATGTCTTTGATTGGTGTATTGAGGAAATAGCCAAGGACACCCGATCTTCAAACATCTCTTGTCTATCATAACGGATAACAAGTATTGATTTCTATGTGGGAACCAGGGTGTGGGTTCAATTCTGCAACTGGGAATTTGTTTCGGCCGATGATGTCATAGTATTATACGCAATTATTTAAAGGAGAAGGCGCAGTTAATGAGGCCATGTGCCAGGCTAAGATGAATTTAGCAAATAATCTGATAATAACGACAATAGATTGACATCATTATATTGTAAGTTAATATTTTAATCCAGCGAGTTTTATCTTAACTGGCTGCCACACTATTATAACCCTGTAAAGAAAGAACGCAACTCAGTGAAGATCTGCCAGCATTTACCATTGTTTGAAAGTCAACTAGTTAACGCAAAATAATAAACAGTTAACAACTAAGGTTTTTTTTTAAACTAATCTTCTAATTAACAACCAAGTGTTTTTAGACTAATGTTCTAGTTAACTGGGTTATTATTATACTAATATTATAGTTAACAACAGGAGGTTTTATACTAAAGTCTTGTTCTAGGTAAAAACGAAGTTTTTTTTTATATTAATCTTATAATTAAAAAACAATTTTTATTTTAGACTAATATTCTAGCTAACAACCAAGGTTTATTATATTAATGTTCTAACAATCAAGTTTTTATACTAATTTTCTAGGTAACAATCAAGGTTTTATACTGATGTTTTACTTAACAACTGATGTTTTTCTATACTTGTGTTTTAGTTAACAACCAATGTTTTATACTAATTTTCTTATTAGCAACCAAATTTTTTATACTAATTTTCTAGGTTACAACCAAGGTAATTTATATTAATGTTCTTATAAACAAAAAGTTTTTATACTAATATTTAAGGCAACACCCAAGTTTTTTTAATAATATTTTAATTAACACCCAAATCTTTTTATACTAAACTTCTAATTAACAACCTAATTTTTATACTAATGTTCTAATTAACAGCCAAGTCCTTTTATACTAATGTTCTGAGTAACAACCAAGGATTTTTATACTAATGTTCTAATTAACAACCAAGCTTTTTATAATAATGTTCTATGTATCAATCAATGTTTTTATACTAATGTTCTGATTAGCAACTGGGGTGTTTTATAGTAATATTCTAGTTAAACGAGGTATTTTTATACTAATGTCAGTTAGAATTCTATATTAATATACTAATTAACAACCAAATCTTTTTATACTTATGTTCTGGATAACAACCAAGTTTATTTATACTAATGTTCTTTGTAACAAGCAAGGTTTTTATACTAATATTATAATTAACTACCAAGTTTTTTATACTAATTATCTAGGTAAAAATCGAGGTTTTTATACTAATGTTCTATTTAAGAACCGACATTTTTATATAGTAATGTTTTAGTAAACAACCAATATTTTTACTAATGTTCTAAGTAACAACCAAATCTTTTTAATGCTAATTTTCCAGATAACAATCAAGGGTGTTATACTAATGTTCTAGCTAACATTTGACGTTTTTCCTATAATAATGTTTATTTAAATTCCAAGGGTTTTTATACTAAGGTTCTAATTAACAACCAATTTTTTAATACTAATATTCTAGGTAAACAAGGTTTTTTTTATACTAATGTTCTACGCGCCATTTAATATAGACTTGTGCTAAGTTAATCTTGTATTATACCATTAGACTCATTCGCTGACGCTTGCAATGCAGATGTGAGGTCACGTACTTCTCCGCTCGACAGCCGAGTGCAACTGTAGGCTAACCCTGCTCCTTTGACAGTTTGGTGTTAAATTTGAGAGCAATATCTATTCCGACATCATACCATGATTACCGCATCACAACAAATAGATCAAACGTTGGAAAAAATGACCCGAAACCATATACCATTGATTTAGTTGATGTTAATTTGAGTTTCAGAATGGAATAAACAGTTGGTTTGTATGGATCCTTTTTCCTGCCCATTAATGCTGGCACGTTTTTTCTCACTGGGTTAATTTGCTGTATACGTTGATTATGAAGATAATAATTGAGTTATTAGAACGTTGGCGTTCCGACCACAAGAACCTGGTTCGAATCTAACCATGTAAGGATTTTATTTTGCAACAAGAATTTATAAACAAATATAAAATGGTCGATGGTCTTTCTCAATACATGGCTAACTGAAAGCACTAACACGACTTGTATGGACCGGGGTAATTCAAATATATATATATATATATATATATATATATATATATATATATAAACATTGCGATATGATTCAAAGGAATCTCCTTGATTTTCGAACAGATGGGCATCTTATCATTCACTGGGTAATTTTTACACTTTTCCTTCACATAGACCCAGTTTACAACTTTCTGTATGTTGTGGTGTCCTCCCTCTAAAGAGTCTATGTTGGACTCTTCCTCCTACTATACGATTTGTCGGAGAGAAGGCTTTGGGGGAACAGTCGAATAGATTGAATGCTGGGTCATCCGACACACACTCACTAGTCTTGTAATATTCTTCTGTTGTACTTACTGTTAATATATGATATATCTGTAAAACTTATTTTGTTATTTCTTTAACCTTTTACTTAGTCATAACACTGTACAACATTAAACACATTGTTTTGCCTCATAAACTCTTGAAAATTTATTTCAATTGAGCACTCTTGAAAAACAGCCTAATTCTACAAACGGCAGCTACCTACGAGAAAAGCTTTTCGGTAAAATGAATACGAACACTCTGGTTAACTGACATTTGTGTACATTCGTAAAAACAATATGCTAGAATTAGCAGTTTCCCTCTGCCAAGTGATGATAGTTTACGGGTAGAACCTCTGACTGACATCAAATTGGATTTTGATGCTTGCTTGAGGGTTTCGGACTTCTAGTCGCAATGGGGAGCTGTGACATGCTCTGTGAGGAGCTGCAAATAACATAATTAACCTCTTAAACTGCAGCTTCCGTAAAAATGAATACGAGCACTGTGGCTGATTGGCTTTTGTTTACATTCGTAAAAACAATACACTAGAATTAGTAGTTTCTCTCTGCCGAGTGCTGATCCTGGCTTGAGGTTGTGATACAGCGAAACAGTACTGATTATATATATATATATATATATATATATATATATATATATATATATATATGACACTGAAGGTAAAAAGCCAAAGGCCAAAAAGCCCACCTAACGAATACTTATGAGAGTTTCTTCAATAAAAAGATTTGAAAAAACTAACATAATTAAGCTTGTTTATAAATACTTTTTGCAAAATAAAATCCTTACATTTGCAACATTGAGGAACATCAATGATTTTAAATAAAAAATTATATGAGCACAAAAGAAAATTTTTTACAAAAATCATGCTCAGCGCAATTGTCGTTCATCGTAATGAGTGTGGCCATAATTTAGATTTTTAAAATACTGCTTTAAGTAAAGGAGAAGATAATATACAAAGATAAAAAATATACATAGGGACAGATTGTAATAGATAGCCAGATAGATAGATGGGAACAGTGCAATAGTTAGATAATGAAATTGCTGAGATAGATAGATAGATACTGAAGTTGCTTAAACATTTAAATATATATATATATATATATATATTTGGTTGGATAGATGTGAGTTTGTGACCCTGGGTTTCACGCTTTGCGATCGTCAGACAAACTGATTAATGTTTTAAAAAATTTGGGTTTATGTAGATTGCGTGTATTGGTGTTATTGTGGAAGTGGTGGGGGAAATTGAGTTATTAGAACGTTGGCGTTCCGACCACAAGAACCACTTCCACAATAACACCAATACACGCAATCTACATAAACCCAAATTTTTTAAAACATTAATCAGTTTGTCTGACGATCGCTAAAGTGAAACCCAGGGTCACAAACTCACATCTATCCAACCAAATATAGCTCTATCTCTGATATTGAGCGCTCTCTAATAATATGCATATAATATATAAATAATTATACATATATATATTTATTTATATTTATATACACTTTTCACATATATATATATATATATATATATATATATAGAGAGAGAGAGAGAGAGAGAGATAGATAGATAGAGAGAGAGAGAGATAGATAGATAGATAGATAGATATACAGAAGTATATACCGAAATCAATAAAAAGATATAGATAGATATTAAATAGATATGTATACGCAGTAATAGATAGCGATATAATGAACAGATTGGTATAGATAGTTAATGAAGTTGCTTAGATAGATAGATACGAACAGACTGTAATAGATAGATAGATAGGAACAATCTGTAATAGACAGATAGGTAATAAAATTGCTGAAAGTGATAGATAACGAAATTGCTAATAAAGATAGATAGATAGATAGATAGATATGTATATGCAGTAATATATAGCGACATGATAAACAGATAGAGACAGATAATGAAATTGCTTAGATAGATAGATAGATAGATAGATAGATAGATAGATAATGGAATTGTTAAGATAAATAGCTAGATTGGTCGATCGATACATAGATAGATAGATAGATAGATAGATAGATAGATAGATAGATAGATATGAACAGATTAGACCAAAAGAGAAAAAAACCCTGTAATCTTTAAGTAATCAATGCTTTTTTTACTCGATAATATTTCTTATTTCTTTAAACTAAACTATGAATTCATATATTTATGGTTATGCTAAATGTAAATTAATGTTTACACGATATGATATTCAATGAGATTCCTTGAGCTCTGAGCCGGTAGACATTAATTTCATAAATACAAAAAGGCTTATCTTAATCAAGCAAATTTTCCCTATAAATATAACGTTTTAAATATAACGTTGTCAGAAAATGAGATATAAATTTTCATATTCCATGACAATATTCGGAAAACCGATCGAATCAAATTATATTATTTTACGTACCAACAAAAATTGAAAAGAATTTATCTGAGATTAACATAGAATTCGTTATAACGACTGCTAAGACAATAAAATACATAATTAATGCAAAACGAAATTATAGCAACATCAAACCCGAAAAAAGAAAGTAATCTATATCCTTGATGTGGGGCCAAAGTTGGGACCACAGAAGTAAAACACGGAACACGAATTAGATGTAAGAAAGATATATTAACAACAGGTTACAGAGATAGTGTAGAGTGCCATGTCACCTACTTAATATAGGCCTGGAAGAGTCTATTGTGTAGGTAGTTTCCGGTTTCACAATACCCCCCCCTCTTCCAAAGAGTTTTCTTTTTGAAAAGGAGAGAAAAAAATAAAACTTAATACTTTTTCCTCTTGGGATTTATGTCGAGCGGTTGAGTAAATTTCCTTTTCCTTCCTGAGCGTCGCACTTCAGAGAGGCATGTCGAGATCGAAGTGATCGAAAATTACGTCGATCGGCTCTTCACAGTTATTTTGTAGTGATTCCTCCGATTCCTTCAAACGGCATTTTCTGAGCTGGTTACAATGGCGTTTGTGAATGTCTTTTGGTTCTTGGACCATATAGACCAGTTCGCCAATTCTCTGCTTTATGGTGCCCACTTCCCAGAATGTCATATTGTTCTTGTACGCCTTGAAAAAGACCCTATCGCCAGGATTGAAATATTTCCTATGAGGCGATATGGTTTTTTTTTTAACTTTGCTGTGGAATAAGTTTGTCGAAGACAGACTTTATTTTCCTTGCGAACATTGTTTCTGCAGGTGAGCTTCCCATAGGCGTGTTCGGATTAGGGGTTATCCGATACACCTACAGAAACTGTTGCAATGCTCTATCTGTCGGTGTGCCTAGTGCCTTTCTTAAAGCCCTTTTAAAGTGTCCACGAACCTTTCGGCCTGGCCATTTGACCTAGGGTGGTACTGAGGCGTTGTAACGTGGTCCACCTGATATGACTTGCAGAAGTCTCTAAATTCACTTGATGTGAATTGAGTGCCATTATCTGTAACTACACAATCTACCACGACAAAACGCGCGAATAGCTCGTGTAGAAATCCGATCGTGCAGTTTGTGGTTGGTCTTTTACATTGTAGGACCTCAGGTCATTTTGAGTGGCTATCCACAACAATGAGATAGTACATGTTGTCCATAGGCCCTGAAAAATCCACATGAATTCTTTTCCAAGGATGATCTGTTTTGGGCCATGGTTTGCACGTCGTGTTTGGAGCTTTTGCTGCAAGCGCGCATCCTTTGCATGCTTCTATCATGTCTGCTATGTCTTTGTCCATGTTTGGCCAATAAACGTAGCAGCGCATGAGGCTTTTCGTACGGTTCTTCCCCGGATGTCCCATGTGAAAATCCCTAAGGATTTTTCTTTGTAGGCTGTTTGGAATCACTACGCGGTCATTATATAGTAGGACATCATCGCAAAGGGAGAAAACTTCAGGCACATTGGGGTCTTTGTTTCGAATTTTGCTTTTTATTGATTGAATGAATTCATCCTCTCGAGACTCCCTTTTTATGTCGGCCGAAGTAACTGGGAGCACTCTTATGGTACTCGCGATCATGCTTTTGATTTCACAGTTTGTCCTTAGAGTGGCAATGATAGAGTCTTCAAAGACTTCTGTATTTTTTGGAATGAGTCGCGATAAACTGTCAGCATGGCAAATATTTTTGGATGTTAGGAACTCTATCTTGAAATTATAGTTTAAGAGAATCGTTCCCCAACGAAGTAATCTATTTGCAGTATAGACTGGCAGACCTTTTTTAGACTCAAAAATTGTGATTAGAGGTTTACGGTCCGTCATCAGTATGAACCGTCTACCATGTAGATATCTGTGAAACTTTGTCACAGTGAATATTAACCCTAGAGCCTCTTTCTCTATTTGGGAATATTGTTTCTCAGCTGGAAGTAGAGATCTTGATGCGTGAGCCACAGCTTTTCGCGAACTGTCTGGCAGTTTATGTAATATGCAAGCGTCTATGCCGTATAAGCTTGCATCACTTGCGACTATGATGTCGAGACTAGGGTCATAATGTGTGAGGGAGAGGTCTGAAGTAAGAGTTTTCTTGATCTTCTCGAATGCGTCTTGGCATTCCGGGGTCCATGACCATGGTTTGTCCTTTTTTAAGAGTTGGTTGAGACGCCCTCTCAAATTTTGCATGTTCTTAATGAACCCTTCGTAAAAGTTAGCTAGGACGAGGAAGCTTTGTAACGCTTGAACGTTATCTGGGGCCGGAATGTTTCTGATCGCGTTGGCTCGTATTTGATTGGACTTCTTTTTTACGTATACCGTAGGTGGTGTCCACTCGCTGAAATCTGTTTTTGACAGAATACCTGCTTGTTCGAGTCTATCTAACTCTTTGTTTATTTGCTCTAGAGCAGCGAAAGGGACATTCCGTTTCTTTTTGAATACCGGTTGTGCACCGTCCTTCACCTTGAACTTAGCTTTCATTTTAGTACATTTCCCTAGGCCGCCAGAAAAAACCTGGGGAAATTGTTGTTTGAGTACCTTTTTGAGATTTACCAAATTGGACGTTGTACTTTGTATCTTGCGACAAAATGTACTCATTGGGCAATCCCAAAGATTGAATTTTTCTATCCAATCTGTTCCAAATAAATTATCTGAAGTTTTCAATACGTAGGCTTTGAGCTTTTTGGTAACTCCATTTAGTGTTACTGTCAGAATTACCTCGCCTAAAATATTAATCTTTTCGCCAGTTACGGATTTTGCTGTTTTATCCGTTTTTAATAAGGTCGGCTTGTTTAATTTTCGCCAAGTACGCCAAATATCAGAACCCGAGTCAAGCTGGAATTTAATGGACTTATTGAAAATATCCACAGTTACATATTTTCTTAAATTTCTATCGACAATATTGTCAGATTGAGCTTGCCTAATTTTATTTTTGAGTTTCCTCGTTCTGTTGGCGTACCAGCACGAAGTTAAAGTATGCCCACTTTTATTGCAATTTTTGCAATATTTTTTGTTGTTCACTGGAGAGAATTTCACCCAATGCCATTTACCACAATGGTAACATGGTCCAGGCGGTTTCTTTAACCTATTTTGGTTTTGGTTACTGCGGAATTTAGGACATGAGATTTGCCTCTTGTCTTTTTGAGGGGAATAGGAGGTAGACTTACATCTGATTTTATTAATCTGAGTCACACCTGATTCCTCGATAGTGTTTGAGTCACGCTTTACAGATATTACTATTTGACAGTCCTCTGCCAGTTTTTGGAGAGTCAATCCTTGTTCGTTCTCAAGCTTGGTCAGTACCCGTCGTCTGACTTCGGCGTCTTCTGCTGATACTAGACCTTGTGCGAAAATCAAGCCTTTGAAATCATCGGCAGTCAGTTCGGCTAGTTTAAAATCATTACAGAGCTTGTTTACCGATGCTGCAAACGTTAGAAAATCTTGTTGGTTGTCTTTGACTGTGTTCAGGCATTTCCAACGTTTGTGGAACAAGGTTGTGTTAGGCCCGAATAGTTCCGATAGGAGCTTAATAGTCTCTGAAAAATCCAAGTCCGTCGTTTTCTTGGGTAGTATGAAGTCTACGAACCTACTATGTTCTGTAGTTCCCAGTTTTCTCAATAGAAGACGTACCTTCTTTTTACTGGACCATTGTTCACAGTCTACGTTGAAAATATCCTCGTAGCGCCTGTAAAAAGAGTCGAACGTTTTGTCGTTCTCTGGTACGTATTCAAAGGTTTCCACTGAATTGTAGATTGTACTCTGGGAGAATATTGTATCTTTCTCAGAGTTTGAGCCTTTTAATGCATTTACGAGTAATTTTTTAAGTTGTTTCTGTTGTAGTTCAGCATTCTGAAGCGTAATTTTTTGGAATTCCCTTTGTTGTTTATGTAATTTCAAATATAGTTGCTGTTGTCTTTCTTCTGATTTTTGTTGCTGATCCAATTTTAGTTTTAACATTTGGGCAACTACTTTTCGCAAATCTTCCATATTTAAAAATGACAGCGCTTTTTTGTTGCTTTGAAACACGTGTACTAAGAGGAGGTACACAAAAAAACCTTGATAGGTTTTGTTCCTTTTTTTTCTTTTACAGAAAAAAAATATGGACAGACAATAGTTAAACTAAACTAATTATGTGTGTTTAGCTTTTTTTTCCCGTGGTTCCGTTAATTTGAACGTAATTGAATAAATTTTCACCACACTTATGTATTTTTTTATAGGTACAAAAAGAGAAAACTCACCTCAGTCAATTTGAGGGGAGAATAATTTTATGCACGAGTTCAACTAAGATAAAAAAAATTTTCGATAGCTTTTTTCGAAAACTTGAGTACACTGGTAGTACTTGCTCTTGTATTGTCAGTTTGTTTTACGAACAGTTGTTTTTTTTTTCTCTGTGTGTGGGTATGTAGAAATCGTTCTCGTATTGGACAGACTTTAATATTCCGTAGATGTCGAATCGCTAGTTCGTCAATGGTGTTTGGTATTGGAATATATATAGACGCTGGGTGTTTAGCTTTTAAATCGCTAATGTATTAATACCAGCTTAATTTCACGTTCAACACTGCTGTGGGAACGCGTGTAGTTTGTGTATTTTTCGAGTACTGTCGTTATTGATATAGTGAGAACAAAATTCTCGAATCCTTTCTGTCGCCATTGAGGTTTTCGACGTGAATGCGTTTGTCGAATTCTTCGTCGACCCAGATGTGGGATTGGTAAGGTATTTGGTTTTGCCGTGAGTGCGTTTCTAGAATCCTCGACGCCACTGATGTGGGGGCCAAAGTTGGGACCACAGAAGTAAAACACGGAACACGGATTAGGTGTAAGAAAGATATATTAAGAACAGGTTACAGAGATAGTGTAAGCGGAGCTTACTATATGTTAGTGTCCAACACTGGTAGTCGTACGAGACTCTCACTGTCTCTCTGTGTCACTCTCTGTCACTCTCTAAGAGTCTATTGTGTAGGTAGTTTCCGGTCTCACAATAATCCTGTAATGATCGTCACAAAAATACACAGGAGTGACTTCGATGAAATTAAATAAAAGATAATATGAACACGATAAAGATCTTTTACAAAACAACAAACTCAATGCATAATGGGTCTTGCCATAATATTTCATAATAAACTTGGTATGAACTTACCTATACTGGTTGTTTCTGTTTAGGGAGGAACATCCATGAATTTAAATAAAAGATTAGATGAACACAAAAAAGATATTTTACAAAAAAAGATAACAAAAAACAAAAAAAAAAAAAAAAAAAAATAAAACAAAAAGCAAAAAAGAAAAAACAAAACACGTTCAACGCATTTGTCGTTCATCGTAATGAGTGTGGTCATAATTTGGATTTTTGAAATGCTGTTTATATCTCTGAAATATGGTATTATGATTATTTGCATTACTTACATTACTCGGACCGTTAACCTCATCTTCATTGTCATATTGACATGATCCAGTGGATAAAGACGTTGGTTAGATCCAGTGACTAAACGAAATGATTGTAAGTTCAATACCAGGCCACAGCAGTGGTAAGTCAAAGCTTGAAGAGTTTAACTTAACTCTTGAAAAGAAATAACTGATGTACCCAGAAGTGGCATGGCAAGTGGAACTAGAACAATGTACCCCGGTAGACGAAATGAAGGGTTCGGTTCGAAATTCCAATCACCTGAAGAATGCCGGGGCATACAAAAGCCGAAATATGTGAATATGGTAATAAAGATGAGGATAACAGTCCGAATAATGTAAATAATCATAATACCCCATCTCAGAGATACCGGCAGATACTGAATGCATGGCATGTGGAACTAGAACAGTCTACCCCGGTGGACGAAATAAAGGGTTCGGTTCGATGTTTTAAAATCCTGCTTTAGTTAAAAGAGTAAATATTTTACAAAGGTGAAAATATATAGAAAATGATATCCGATATTTCTGATATCTGAATTATCCACAGTAAATTTGCGTTCAGATTCGTACAGCATTTCACGTTTCTTAATAAATTGTCCGTTCATTGGGCTGAGTTAACGTTTACGTTGATGCGACTACGCATGCACTCGAAGGAAAGGGAGACGCTGAGAATTTCAATATTATTTAAAAAATTTAATATATCTTTTCGGTATATAATCTAGCCGATTTCATTTAGATTCTTTTTGTTTTTGTTTTTTGTTTTGTTTGGTTATTAAATATTCCACATTATGATAATAGAAAATCTGCCAAGAATGGTGAAATGTTGTAAGAACATGGACACAAATTTACTGAATTTAGATACGAAGTAGCATCTGGTTAGTAAGGTCGAGTTTACTGCTTTTAAACTACAAACTTCCTATGATTCCCCTCGAACTTCCATATCTGCTCGAAGCGTATCTTGACGTAAACAAATGACATCACGCACTATGAAATGGACTAAACTCAACTGGTATAGAACGTCAGGCTATATAACAGTTACGTGTAGGATACAGGTTCGATTTCTGTCGGAGGACGCATATTTTCAATGAAATTACTCGGATGTTCAGGCCGGTAAACGTTGTTAATACTGTTTATTATGAACAGAGCATTTACTTAAATATTTGTGTATATATAAATAACGTTTAACAATAAATATATTAAAATAATTGTCGGACAGTCCATTTCGTTCTGTATAGATAGATAGACTGATAAAGAACAGCCTGAAATAGATAGATAGATAGATAGATAGATAGATAGATAGATAGATAGATACGAACAAGCTGAGGTGGATAGATAGATAGATAGATAGATAGATAGAGAGAGAGAGAGAGAGAGAGAGAGAGAGAGAGAGAGGAGTTTTTGGAGAGACGAGAATTAAACTGAATATCTTAGCAGAGAAAAATGTGAAAAAGGCTTTTACAGAGAGAGACAGAAAGAGAGAGAGAGAGAGAGAGAGAGAGAGAGTGAGAGAAAGAAAAAGAAATATTTTAGAGCATTTTTAATATCTTAACAATAAAAGGGAAACATGAGAAAATGAATATAAGAGCCTGAAAGAGATAGATCGATATGAACAGATTGAGATAGATATATAGATAAATAAAAGAATGAGATAGAGAGATAGATAATTAATTGAATGAGATAGATAGATAGATAGATAGATAGATGTGCTCAGACTGAGATAGACATATATGAACAAACTGAGATGGATAGATATGAACAGATGTGATAGATAGATAGATATGAACAGACTGATAGATAAATAGATAGATATACATAGACTAAGATAGATATTAACAAATGAGATAGATAGATAGAAAGAAAGAAAGAAAGAAGGGATGAGACAGATGTAACGGGGTTTAGTCAGAGAATACAAATTTGAATAGTAAAACGACTAAAATATAATTTTTTTGCCTATAGAGAGAATGAAAACTAAAGACAGACAGAAAAGCAGAGAATGAAGAATTCAGTAAGAGAAAATGAGAAAAGAATCATTAATGAGCGAGAAAACTGGAGAGAGAGAGAGAGAGAGAGAGAGAGAGAGAGAGAGAGAGAGAGAGAGGAGAGAGAGAGAGAGAGAATGAATTAAATAGAAGGAGAAAAAGTGTTAGAGAGATAAATGAAGAGTGCGACATGAAAAAAAAAATCCGTCACTTTTAAAAGTTGAGATTTATCGCAAAGTTTAGTATTAGAAAATAATTTGGCTGGAGGCGCTTGTGATTTGGCGCGAAAAGTGAAATGGGCCTAATGAAAGCAATGGTCAAAACTTGTATTAGACAAATTGAATTCGGCGCGCAGGAAAATAATCGTTAATTCATTTTTTTTTAATTTAACTTTTTTTTTTAAAAAAAAAAAAAAAAATTCACACGTTCCTTGCACTCTGTTCAATTTTTAGCATTTTCTCTTTGATTAATTTTTCGCGATTTTTTTCATTGTATTTTCTCCCGCGTTCTGAGTTGCGCCATTATCTTTTACTTTTTTTTTTAATTCGTTGGCTCATTTACTTCGATAGTCATCTGAATACTTTCTATTTTTTCTTTCTTTTTTCTCCGTCTTCTTTCTTATTTCTTTCTTTGACTTTCATCTTTCCTATCATTTATATTCGACTCTATCTATCTATCTATCTATCTATCTATCTATCTATCTATCTATCTTTGATTTTCATCTTTCCTATCATTTATCTTCAACTTTATCTTTCTTTTTTTTTTTTCTTTTCTTATTTTCTTTTTTTCTTTCGATTTTTTGTTTATTTTTTTTTATTTTCTTTTTACCTACTTCCTACTTTTCTTTAATTTTCATCTTTCTTATTTTTATCTTCGACTTTTTCTTTCATTCATTTCTTCTTCCGTTCTTTCTTTCTTTCTTTCTTTTAATTTCTTTGTTTCTGTTTTCCTTCTTTTTCTCTTCTTTCTTTCTTTTTTCTTCCTTTCTTTCTTTCATTTTCATATTTTCCTTTCTTTTATCTTCATTTTCTTTATTTCTTTCTTTCTTTCTTTCGTCTCCTTACTTGGATTCCCACTTTCACTTTGTTCTTTATTTTTCTTTCATTTCTTCCTCTCATATACTATCTATCTATCTATCTATCTATCTTTGATTTATATATTTCCTATCATTTATCTTCAACTTTATCTTTTTTTCTTTCTTTTTTTCTTTCTTTCGTCACCTTACTTGGATTCCTGCTTTCATTTTGTTCTTTATTTTTCTTTCATTTCTTCCTCTCATTTTCTTTCTATCTATCTATCTATCTATCTATCTATCTATCTATCTATCTGTTCTTCTGACATAACTTCCTTGTTTATATCTTATATCAGAGTAAAAGTGAAAGTGAAAGTAGCAATGCTGATTAGAGTTATTTCTCTTAGAACTTTCCTTTCCCACTTCTTAATTCTTTGCCAATTTTTTTTTCCAACTAAGATTTTTAAATATCCTCTTTTATTTCTTTATTAAAATTACTCCCACAAACACACGCACTCAGACATTCCTGCACACCCACATATGAGATCACATCAGTAATTTATATTCACGTACGCACGCTCATGATTTGGACATTTCCTCTTCCTTTGTTCCCCAGTGTCATTAACGTGCAAGTAGGTGTCATTGTTAATTCGTAAATTGAAATACTAATCTATATGTCACATTCTATTTGAAAGCAGCAAATCACTATAGAAAAAAAAAACAACTTCCAATCATTATCAATAACAGACTGAAATGCCGCGGGATGAAGAAACGAAGAAATTGATGCTAGGCGCTTAGCCGAGTATGTGTGCGTGTGTGTTTGTGTATGCGTGTGTGCATGCGGGCGATAAAAGATAATATCAGTACTAACAATGAAAAAAGAAATTAAGAAAGAAATATATTATTATCGAAATGATGCTCATCCTGTACAAGAGCCACTCGAGGTAGAGGGTTACAGAGCAAGAGGTGCAGTCTAATGGAATATGTGGGGAAGACAACAGGTTAAGATTGTTTGTCTCAACGTCCTTGATAAAATCCAAAGACGGATATGCAATGTAATTGGCCCTGCTCTGGCATCTCGTCAGCATTCGCTCTCTCACAGACGTGCCGTCACTTCCCCTCTCTTTTTTTACAAATACTTTCACGGCATCTGCTCCGATGATCTGCTTTCGCTGGTTCCCAGACTTCGTGAATTTAAGCGTATAACTAGGCTAGCATCTCGCTTTTAACCTTTCACTGTTGAAACTGTTAAATGTAGCCGTCTCTTCTACTCCAATAGCTTCATGTCACGCATTTCCTGCCGATGAAACTCTCTGCACTGTTCTTGTTTCCCTGATAGATATAATCTCCAACTTTTCAAATGTAATGTCAATCGACGTCTCCAGATGTCCTGATCTATCCCCTATCTTTCTCTTCATCCTTTCCTCCTACATCTTCTTTGCTCTCGCTCTAATTCTCTGTAACCCCTTGCGTGCTAGTGGCTTCCCGCTTTGCTTATATATATATATATATATATATATATATATATATATAGTGATTTTCTAAGCGTAGCTTAGATGTGGCACAAGGCCGAAAGTATGAGACACCTACTGAGGATCGAACTCACTTTTCAGTCGTAATTGATCTAGCGAGACAAGCTTTCTAACCATTACACCATGCCGGGGTGCCCAACAGAATACAGAAAGCACTGGACGGCCGATTTGTCCTTTTTGTGACTTATCAGCAGAGCGAATCCACCACCGAGAATCGAATCCGGACCGTTACGGTACAACTCAAGCGTCATTCATACCACTGGGCCAGCGAGCCTTGGTGACGAGAAGGAAACCAACTAGACACAATATAGCGCAGCAACTCCTAATTCCGGTGTTGATACTCATCCAAGTATACATAACCCACTAGAACCTGCCCGAAGAGCAACTTCTTGCGCTGCACTGAGTCTAGTTGGTTTCCTCTTCGTCACCGAGGCCTGCTAGCCCAGTGGTATGACACTTGCGGTCCGGTTTCTATTCTCGGTAGTGAATGCACACTACTGGTTAATCCCAAAAAGGACGAAACGGCCGTCCAGCGCTTTCTGCACTCTGTTGAGGTTTCTTATTCTAGATTCAATGAATTACTAATGATATATATATATATATATATATATATATATATATATATATATATATATATATATATATATATATGTTGTATAGGAAACCTACCACCCCTCTTGAAGATGAACTTGTCTACAAACAAAGACGTTAAATAGTGGCATGTCAAAAGACAGAGTCGGAGAAGTTCTTGGCTGAGCTAGTTATAGACTACTCAGGCGATTTCTGTACCTACTTACCAACCGAATAAACCCCTTTTATTTGTTACGTGTTATTTAGCGTTTGTCTTTATTAACCACAAATTAACATCATAATATATATATATATATATATATATATATATATATATATATATATATATATATATATATATATATATATATATATTTTCTGGGATATAAGAATAAGCGTGAAAATTTAATTAATATTAATGATAGAGAATGGAGTGAAAAAAAAAAAAAAAAAAATGAAAAATGAATTTCAAGTAAGCTAAGAGTCCAATAACATTCAAACCCAGTAAGCATTACCTCTGTTTACAGAGGGAAAGCCCACAGAATCTGATATAAAAGGACTTTAGAACCTTGAGCTGATATGAGGAGTGGGACCTAGATAAAATCGACAAACGGTTCGCACTAAAATCAAAAACTTAAACTTATTTAAATATCTATCTATCTATCTATCTATCTATCTATCTATATATATATATATATAGATTTTGTTTACCCACGGAATGGCGTGTCCGCAGCAAAAGGTGTTCTACTTTATCGACATAAGACAATTCGACGTTAATCTGCCCTGTCCTAAGAACATTCGACGGCGATTTAAAGAGTTTAAAGAGAGTGGGTGTCTGCGTAAAGGAAAACGACTAGGACGACGATGAGTTTTTCGGAGAAACATTTGGCGAGAATCCGTGCTGCATTTGACTCGACAAATTGAGCCGTGAGTTGCGATCTCTCAAATCTCAATCTGGCTTGCGTTAAAAACGTCTACATTTGAAACCTTACAGACTACGCCTCATTCAGACACTTACCAAGACCTTGCTCTTTGTGCTTGGCCTGCGAGATCGCCAGACCTCAGCGCGTTTGATCTTTTCTTGTGGGTATACGTAAAAGATCGCATTTATGCTCCACCACTACCCACTAACCTCGATGACCTTAAACATCGAATAAGAACAGCAATTAACTCAGTGGCTCGTGATATGCTGATACGCGTCTGGGAGAAATTCTCTTATCACATTGATGTTGCCCGTGCTGCAGGTGGTGGCCACATTAAACACTTGCAAGACAGGAAATAAAAGTTGATTGTGATTTGAATACTTGTGACTTGGCTGGAATTTTCTATTGCTTTTCCTATTTAAAATATTGCGTAATGAAATTGGTTCATTCTTTTTGGATAACACTATATATATATATATATATATATATATATATATATATATATATATGTTGTGACATTGTTAGGGGCCAGAAATAACGACACAAAGAGAGGAATTGATTAAATATATTAACAGAAACAGTAATACAAACATATATAAACGAGAATGTTACAGTAAGAATGTTCAGTCCGACTGTCAAAGCTAATTGCTGGAAACTTCCATCTCAAAAGGCAATTCCTGCTCCTATTTATAGCTGGACGAATCCATGCGTGCGTGGGTAAATTACCATAACAATATATATATATATATATATATATATATATATATATATATATATATGTGTGTGTGTGTGTGTGTGTGTATGTGTGTGTGTGTGTGTGTGTGTGTGTGTGTGTGTGTGTGTGAATTTAATTTTGGTGGACTAAACCTACGCGAGAGAGAAGTTCACAAACTTGTCCATAAGTTCATACACTTGTCCAGAAGGCTTTAATTGGAATTGAGACAGGCGAGATGTGGTAAACCTGGTTGCATCGGGCTGTCAGATGCTTGGTCTATCAAGGCCCGCCTTGGTTACGCCAGCTCGACTCTCGCTGCTTTCTCCCGCCGGTTTGGTCGTTGATATCGTGTAGATCTTTGCTTATTCCTCCGTTAGATGTCTTCGAGGTTTGGTCGCCTTCAGTCTGGTGCTTCCAACTCCTTATTACCATGGCTGCCA